ACACATCAACCAAATAACTGCTGCAGCATATCGGCGCCTGGCAAACCTAAGAATAACGTTCCGACACCTCAGTAAGGAATCGTTCAGGACTCTGTACACCGTGTACGTCAAGCCCCTGTTGGAGTATGCAGCACCAGTTTTGAACCCACACCTGGTCAAGTGAGTCAAGAAACTAGAGAGTGCAAAGGTTTGCAACAAGAGGAGTCCCAGAGATAAGGGACATTTCCTACGAGGAGAGGTTAAGGTAAATCGACCTGACAACCAGAGGGCAGTAGGAATAGGGAAGACATGATAACAATATATAAAATACCGAGAGGAACTGACGAGATGGATAAGGACAGGATGTATTAGAAATGGGACACAGCAAGAAGGGGTCACAATTTGAAGTTGAAGACTCAGATGAGTCACAGGGATGTTAAGATGTATTACCTCAGTCATAGAGCTGTCAGGAAGTGGAATAGTCTGGAGAGTGATGTAGTGGAGGCAGGAGGGGTATGATAAAGCTCACGGAGCAGAGAGACAGTGCACCTAGTAGCGACCAGTTAAGAGGCGGGGCCAGGAGCTATGAATCGACTCCTGCAACCACAATTAGGTGAGTACCTATACACACATACACAGCCAGGAGCTGTGATTCGACCCCTGCAACTACAACAAGGTGAGTGCACAAGTTTTTCAGCAGAAGAGGTGGCAGAAACAACAGGCCTCTTTGCTGTTGGATACAAAGTGAAGAAGAATAAGAAGGATAATGCAACAACAGCTGTATGTAGGAAGTAAACATACAAGTACCGTAATACAAGCAAGACAAGTGAAACACTGAATAAAAATACTGACTCCAAGAATTATTATTGGAAGATTCATTCGGACAGACTAATCCCTAAGGAGATTATAATAGTCGCCACTGAAACATTTCTCCTGCTGTCCAGGTGAAACGTTTCAGCAATAAAGACTCTAGTTAAGGTTCGTAACCTTGGAGATTAAGATACATGTGCAACAGTTTACTGTTTAGCCTACACAGTAAGCTTCTTCATTTAACTGCAGACTGAAGAAGTTTACTGTGTAGGTGAACCAACTGTTGCACATGTGTCTTAATCATCACCTTGTCGGCATTTTAGACCATTTTCAACATCCAACTTTGAAAAAAATGGGACAGAGCTGAAATAATATACACTGTAAAAGACATCAACACGACAACAACAACTGAAGCTGCCCTCGATGAAACAAAACTCAATTTTATAATTATTAAAATGTTGTACAAACGTGAAACATTTCGCCTAGACTGTACGTGAGACGTTTCAACAATAACGACTCCCATCTGATGAGCATGTGTCTTACTCGAACCCGTGTTGACACTTACGAGGAAAAAATGGATTCCTAAGGTGATTTCATAATTAACCATGATAAAAATACATCCACGATTCTCATGACCTGGCCCCACACTGGTGTCTTAAATTCTCATGACCTGACCCCACACTGGTGTCTTAAATTCTCATGACCTGACCCCACACTGGGACTTAAATTCTCATGACCTGACCCCCACACTGGCGTCTTAAATTCTCATGACCTGACCCCACACTGGTGTCTTAAATTCTCATGACCTGACCCCACACTGGTGTCTTAAATTCTCATGACCTGACCCCACACTGGTGTCTTAAATTCTCATGACCTGACCCCACACTGGTGTCTTAAATTCTCATGACCTGACCCCACACTGGTGTCTTAAATTCTCATGACCTGACCCCACACTGGTGTCTTAAATTCTCATGACATGACCCCACACTGGTGTCTTAAATTCTCATGACCTGACCCCACACTGGTGTCTTAAATTCTCATGACCTGACCCCACACTGGTGTCTTAAATTCTCATGACCTGACCCCACACTGGTGTCTTAAATTCTCATGACCTGACCCACACTGGTGTCTTAAATTCTCATGACCTGACCCCACACTGGTGTCTTAAATTCTCATGACCTGACCCCACACTGGTGACTTAAATTCTCATGACCTGACCCCACACTGGTGTCTTAAATTCTCATGACCTGACCCACACCTGGTGTCTTAAATTCTCATGACCTGACCCCACACTGGTGTCTTAAATTCTCATGACCTGACCCCACACTGGTGTCTTAAATTCTCATGACCTGACCCCACACTGGTGTCTTAAATTCTCATGACCTGACCCCACACTGGTGTCTTAAATTCTCATGACCTGACCCCACACTGGTGTCTTAAATTCTCATGACCTGACCCCACACTGGTGTCTTAAATTCTCATGACCTGACCCCACACTGGTGTCTTAAATTCTCATGACATGACCCCACACTGGTGTCTTAAATTCTCATGACCTGACCCCACACTGGTGTCTTAAATTCTCATGACCTGACCCCACACTGGTGTCTTAAATTCTCATGACCTGACCCCACACTGGTGTCTTAAATTCTCATGACCTGACCCCACACTGGTGTCTTAAATTCTCATGACCTGACCCCACACTGGTGTCTTAAATTCTCATGACCTGACCCCACACTGGTGTCTTAAATTCTCATGACCTGACCCCACACTGGTGTCTTAAATTCTCATGACCTGACCCCACACTGGTGTCTTAAATTCTCATGACATGACCCCACACTGGTGTCTTAAATCTCATGACCTGACCCCACACTGGTGTCTTAAATTCCATGACCTGACCCCACACTGGTGTCTTAAATTCTCATGACCTGACCCCACACTGGTGTCTTAAATTCTCATGACCTGACCCACACTGGTGTCTTAAATTCTCATGACATGACCCCACACTGGTGTCTTAAATTCTCATGACCTGACCCCACACTGGTGTCTTAAATTCTCATGACCTGACCCCACACTGGTGTCTTAAATTCTCATGACCTGACCCCACACTGGTGCTCTTAAATTCTCATGACCTGACCCCACACTGGTGTCTTAAATTCTCATGACCTGACCCCACACTGGTGTCTTAAATTCTCATGACCTGACCCCACACTGGTGTCTTAAATTCTCATGACCTGACCCCACACTGGTGTCTTAAATTCTCATGACCTGACCCCACACTGGTGTCTTAAATTCTCATGACCTGACCCCACACTGGTGTCTTAAATTCTCATGACCTGACCCACACTGGTGTCTTAAATTCTCATGACCTGACCCCACACTGGTGTCTTAAATTCTCATGACCTGACCCCACACTGGTGTCTTAAATTCTCATGACTGACCCCACACTGGTGTCTTAAATTCTCATGACCTGACCCCACACTGGTGTCTTAAATTCTCATGACCTGACCCCACACTGGTGTCTTAAATTCTCATGACCTGACCCCACACTGGTGTCTTAAATTCTCATGACCTGACCCCACACTGGTGTCTTAAATTCTCATGACCTGACCCCACACTGGTGTCTTAAATTCTCATGACCTGACCCCACACTGGTGTCTTAAATTCTCATGACCTGACCCCACACTGGTGTCTTAAATTCTCATGACATGACCCCACACTGGTGTCTTAAATTCTCATGACCTGACCCCACACTGGTGTCTTAAATTCTCATGACCTGACCCCCACACTGGCGTCTTAAATTCTCATGACCTGACCCCACACTGGTGTCTTAAATTCTCATGACCTGACCCCACACTGGTCTTAAATTCTCATGACCTGACCCCACACTGGTCGTCTTAAATTCTCATGACCTGACCCCACACTGGTGTCTTAAATTCTCATGACCTGACCCCACACTGGTGTCTTAAATTCTCATGACATGACCCCACACTGGTGACTTAAATTCTCATGACCTGACCCCACACTGGTGACTTAAATTCTCATGAACTGACCCCACATGTGTCTTAAATTCTCATACATGACCCCACACTGGTGACTTAAATTCTCATGACCTGACCCCACACTGGTGACTTAAATTCTCATGACCTGATCCCACACTGGTGACTTAAATTCTCATGACCTGACCCCACACTGGTGACTCAAGATCTCCATAACCTAACCCCACAATGGTAACTTAAATTCTCATGACCTGATCCCGCACTGATGACACAAGATTCCCATGACCTGACCCCACATTGGTGGCTCCTAACTCACAATTACATCTCACAAACAGAGGTGAAAACATAAGAAAGCCTACGAGGCTCATGCTGGTCATGCCCTTACTCAACCTGGAATCCAGCTTCTCTACTCGTTCTTCCAGTCCAGTGTTGAGAGGGTGACCGTCTCAACACACAATCCAGCTATATAAACCAAGAGTTTCTAATTTTGCAATTAATAACCAACAATTACAGAAGCTTGGAATTATAAAAAAACAATAGCAAATCCAAAACTGATCCGGTAATAGAGAGGAAGAAAAAATCCTGTAATTGACAGGGAAAAAAAGGGAATTTATTTTCTTTAAATAAGATAAAGGATAATAGTGAGAGAAAATATAAAAAGAGACATAAAAAAAAGAGAATTTAAGGGTGAATGACCTTTATAAAGGTTCAGGGGGAGAGGAAAATGTATGAACAGATAACCAGGACGTAAGAGAGTGCAGCTGATGACGACCTTTCGCTCCGACTTGGACAATTAAGTAGTGACTAGTTAAAGGTACAAGTCGGAGCGAAACGTCGTCAAAAGTTTCATTCTGGTGTGTGCGGGTTATTCATGTATTGTTCCAGTCACGGTGTTGTGTCGTTTTGACCTTCAAGAAAATGTATAGAAAACCTGAAGATTACATTATATGTGAAAAACTAAAGTGATGAAAATCTGGAAGTACAGAAGAGAAGAAGACCTAAACAATAGGCAAGAGCTCTCTCTCTCTCTCTCTCTCTCTCTCTCTCTCTCTCTCTCTCTCTCTCTCTCTCTCTCTCTCTCTCTCTCTCTCTCTCTCTCTCTCTCTCTCTCTCTCTCCTATATCCTTATATATAATATGAAACATCAATAAAGTTCAAGGAATATTTTTTTTTCCTTTCTATTTTACAAAACCAAAAACCACAGCTGTAACCTACCATAGCAAAGGCTGGAACACCATTTTCCATCTGAAAAGTATGTACATATAAATGAACTTCTTGTAAATATATATTGTAAACTTATCTAAAATATATTTGATTGGATTAGGCCAAATTTATTTGCGCTTGTTATAATAAGGTTAGGCAAGTTTTCTAAGGTACTTTTGGTACAAAATTATTAATTTTTACATTTGTATAAATGAAAAAATATATCAATAAACGGACTTAATTTTAAATGACTTCTTGCTACTTGACCAGTTTTACCTATTCGGCACGATATATATATATATATAATATATATATATATATATATATATATATATATATATATATATCGTGCCTAATAGGTAAAACTGGTCAATTAGCAAGAACTCATTAAGTCCATTTATTTATATATTTTTTTCATTTATACAAATGTAAAAATTAATAATTTTGCACCAAAAGTACCTTACAAAACTTGTCTAACCTTATTATAACAAGCGCAAATAAATTTGGCCTAATCCAATCAAATATATTTTAGATAAGTTTACAATAACTTAATAATGAACAAACACAATAAAATATATTTTTTTCGTTAGGTCCAGAACGATTTTTGCGAAATTACTGCATACACAAATTTTCGCTTGACTTATTCGGCAAGAAGAGCTTTGCTTTTTATGCCAAAATTGCAAGTTTTACCCATTTGGCACGACATTATATATATATATATATAATATATATATATATATATATATATATATATATATATAATATATATATATATATATATATATATAATATAATATATATATATATATATATATATATATATATATATATAATATATATATAATATATATGGGAGATTATGGGAGATTCTAAAGAAAAATTGCAAAGGTTAGTGGATGAGTTTGAGAATGTGTGTAAAGGTAGAAAGTTGAAAGTGAACATAGAAAAGAGTAAGGTGATGAGGGTAATCAAATGATTTAGATAAAGAAAAATTGGATATCAAATTGGGAGGAGGAGTATGGAAGAAGTGAATGTTTTCAGATATTTGGGAGTTGACGTGTCGGCGGATGGATTTATGAAGGATGAGGTTAATCATAGAATTGATGAGGGAAAAAAGGTGAGTGGTGCGTTGAGGTATATGTGGAGTCAAAAAACGTTATTTATGGAGGCAAAGAAGGGAATGTATGAAAGTATAGTAGTACCAACACTCTTATATGGATGTGAAGCTTGGTGGTAAATGCAGCAGCGAGGAGACGGTTGGAGGCAGTGGAGATGTTCTGTCTAAGGGCAATGTGTGGTGTAAAATATTATGCAGAAAATTCGGAGTGTGGAAATTAGGAGAAGGTGTGGAGTTAATAAAAGCATTAGTCAGAGGGCAGAAGAGGGGTTGTTGAGGTGGTTTGGTCATTTAGAGAGAATGGATCAAAGTAGAATGACATGGAAAGCATATAAATCTATAGGGGAAGGAAAGAGGGGTAGGGGTCGTCCTTGAAAGGGTTGGAAAGAGGGAGTAAAGGAGGTTTTGTGGGTGAGGGGCTTGGACTTCCAGCAAGCGTGCATGAGCGTGTTAGATAGGAGTGAATGGAGACGAATGATACTTGGGACCTGACGATCTGTTGGAGTGTGAGCAGGGTAATATTTAGTGAAGGGATTCAGGGAAACCGGTTATTTTCATATAGTCGGACTTGAGTCCTGGAAATGGGAAGTACAATGCCTGCACTTTAAAGGAGGGGTTTGGGATATTGGCAGTTTGGAGGGATATGTTGTGTATCTTTATACGTACATGCTTCTAAACTGTTGTATTCTGAGCACCTCTGCAAAAGCAGTGATAATGTGTGAGTGTGGTGAAAGTGTTGAATGATGATGAAAGTATTTTCTTTTTGGGGATTTTCTTTCTTTTTTTTGGGTCACCCTGCCTCGGTGGGAGACGACCGACTTGTTGAAAAAAAAAAAAAAAAAAAAATTATTATATATATATATATATATATATATATATATATATATATATATATATATATATATATATATATATATATATATACATATATATATATATATATATATATATATATATATATATATATATATATATATATATATATTACTTAAAGCTATAATTCAACGTGAAAATTATCTCATTTTTTCTTATGGTAAATTTATGTATGAAAGTTTGAGAGAAACATGAAAATAGTGAAGAAATTTACTCATACTGTAATAATACTAGACATTAAGAGATATATACCAAGTACCAGGCGATATATTCCTGGTGCCAGAGGATATGTACCTGGTGCCAGAGGATGTATAACTGGTTGCAGAGGATATATACCTGGTACAAGAGGATATATACCTTGCACAAGAGGATATATACCTTGCACAAGAAGAATATATTCCCTTGCAAAAGAGGAATATATACCTTGCACAAGGAATATATACCTTGCACAAGGGGATATTACCTTGCACAAAGGATTAATACCTTGCACAAGAGGTTTATATACCTGTACAAGAGGATATATACCTTGCACAAGAGAATATATACCTTGCACAAGAGAATATATACCTTGCACAAGAGGATATATACCTTGCACAAGAGGATATATACCTGGTACAAGAGGATATATACCTTGCACAAGAGGATATATAACCTTTGCACAAGAGAATATATACCTCCCACAAGAGGATTTTTACCTTGCACAAGAGGTATATACCTTGCACAAGAGAATATATCCCTTGCACAAGAGGATATATACTTGCACAAGAGAATATATCCCTTGCACAAGAGGATATATACCTTGCACAAGAGGATATATACCTTGCACAAGAGGATATATACCTGGTACAAGAGGATATATACCTTGCACAAGAGAATATATACCTTGCACAAGAGAATATATACCTTGCACAAGAGGATATATACCTTGCACAAGAGGATATATACCTGGCACAAGAGGATATATACCTTGCACAAGAGAATATATACCTTGCACAAGAGAATATATACCTTGCACAAGAGGATATATACCTTGCACAAGAGGATATATACCTGGTACAAGAGCATATAAGCCTGGTGCCTCAGTATATTTATCTATACCACCCGAATGATTCATAACAAGAGACTAGCTTATAATAAAGTTAAAAGGAGAGCTTCACAGAGCGTGTACTGGGACCAAGACTGCTGTAGGCTGTGAAAACTGAATGAAAATCCTTTGAATAATATACGGAACCTTTAAACATAATGATAAACATTCCGACGTTTAAAACATTTCATTGGACGTCTCCAAGTAACGTTTTAGCTAATTTCGGATTAGCAATGATGACGCAATCGCCTCCGACAGACCGAGAACGTCAGATACTTAATTTTTTCGGAGATTTAAATTGGGTTCTGTGAGAATAAGAGTCACTGTCCTTACCACTGCGCCAGCATAGGTCCAGCACTGCTCCAAACGTCTCTTAAGATTTCATATTTCAGTTACCTATCTGTGTCTTTATCTAGTGTTGTTTTGTGATGGACAAAAGTTATCTAGAGTGTGATGTAGCGAAAGTTGTTAACTAGAATGCTTTAAAATTGGTACAAATGAGGTACATTGGATCCAGATTGATTCTTCATACAGATTTTTTTAATTGATTTACTTGAAGTCTACAGCATTTCACTTTGCGACCATTACAAATATGCATTGAAATTTTAATAAGGTTAGTTATTTGAAAAAAATTTTTTGGAAAAATCTATTTTTTAATTTCGTATTGTAAAAAATACCACAATAAGAAAACTATAAATGAAAATATGCAAGTAAAGCCAAAACAAAAGAAAAAAATATGTAAAACAGATAAATATAAATATATACCCACAAGAACGAGACAGAAAAATACCTTACAAGCTTCAAACAAATAATAAAATGAAAAAATATATTTGAAAAACCAAGTGTATATACATGGAAACTTATACATTTCTCAGTGTTTTTGCACAGAGATGAGAATATCTCTCACTATCTATGCTCTGAGAGGCGTATATCCCTGAGAGTGCACTCTGATTGTTGGTGTACACACAGCCTTTATAATGCACACACACACACACACACACACACATATGTTCTTGGTTGTTGGTGTATATGCAGCCTTAATGATGCACTCACACTCACACACACACACACACACACACACACACACACACACACAACACACACACACACACACACACACACACACGGTTCCTAGACCAAGACAGAACAAGAACAAAACTACAGCAGCTGAGGGGAGGACACATGCGAAAGGGACTAGGAAAAGAGACAAGGTCAAATTCAGCAAAGGACAACCTGAGCAGGGCAGAGCAACAAGCACAAACACACACACAACCAAACACACTATCCCAACACAAACCACAATTCGCACTCACAGCCCCCACCCCACACTACGCTGTAGAATACAACAGCACAGGTTCCCCACCCTCACAGACATCCCACAGAACACAGTGTTGGAGAGGAAACTGAAGGTATGATATACCAATGCTGATGGAATAACGAATAAATAACGAATAAGTGGGAGGAGTGGCACGAAAGGGTCAAAGAGCATCACTGGACGTTATAGCTCTCACAGACTCCAAGCACACAGGAATGATAACAGATGCCATCTTTCCATCGGGATATCAGATCCTGAGGAAAGACAGAGGGAGCAGAGGGGGTGGAGGAGTGGCACTGCTCATCAAAAACCGATGGGATTTTGATGAGCTGGAGAGAGGAGACAGAGGGGAAGCAAGATACTACATAATAGGAACACTTCAGCTTGGAGGTCCCAAGGTGGTAATTGCAGTGATGTATAACCCTCCACAGAGTAGCAGGAGGCCAAAGCAAGAGTATGACGAGAGCAATAGAGCGATGGTTGACACACTGGCTGAAGTGTCCAGAAGGGTTCATGTGAGCAGGGCAAAGCTGCTGATTATGGGTGACTCCAATCACCAGGCAATCGACTGGGAGAACCTTGAGCCACATGGGGGCCCAGAAACGTGGAGGGCTTAGATGATGGAGGTGGTACTGGAAAATCTCATTTACCAA